ATACTAATGTTCACGAGACACAAGGACCAATAGCCACTTAAGGTAGAGCTTTTGTTTGGTGTTTTCGGAGCGTAATAAATGCCATGAAGTTCATACAGGAAAGATAATGGATAACTCTAGACTTGAAGGGGTCAATATTGTAGTGATTGGGAAAACATCCTATCGGGAGTTTGTTCAACAATGTTGCAAGGCTTATGAACTTCTTACTAATGGAATACGGAGGGAATGGGGGGGTGATTTTCCCTTGTGCACATGGGATCGTGGGTCAAAGTTGTAGAGGTCAGGTGTGGTTGAATTATAGCTTGTTAGAACACAAACGTAGCCAGAGGCTTATGACGTTTAGCCTGGCAAAGCGTTTTTAGGTTGGACATTATTCATCTTCCACAATTTCGCATAGACTCTTTCGAACAGGTAACATCAGGCCAGATATGGCATCGATATTGCATTTTTGATCTGATTGTAACGATAGATTATAGCAAGTGGGAAGATCATAAACTTACTGGAATGGAAACAAGGAACCAAACGTTATTTTCTATCATCTTTAGCAATGGAACGGCTATACGAGTGACACTTGAATCATTTTTTTTAACCAAGCAAGGCAGTAAAGCCAGCACGATACAAGGGTCTGAAATAATTAGAAAGCAGAAAATTACTAATAAGTGAGAACAATAGAAGTGTAATCAGGAAGTCAATAGATAACCATTGACATTGTATTTAATTTTTTGTAGATCAATGTTAATTGGAAAACCGGGTTGGTCACATGTTTTATACTGACACAAAGTGGAGGAATTATATTGAATCAGTTGTTCTCTCTATTGATAGGAAAGTTCGTTCACTGGGTCTTGCGAGACACTTTATCTTGTCATCCATTCGTCCATGCATTGAATATTACTTTGCTGTCTGCCCTAGTGCCCTGACTATATATATATATATATATATATATATATATATATATGTATATATATATGTGTGTGTGTGTGTGTATATGTGTGTGTGTGTGTATATATACACACATATATACACACATATATATATATATGTGTATATATATATATATATATATATATATATATATATATATATATATATTGGGATATAACATCGAAAACTTGACAAAATTTGAACACAGTCGCGTTTCGATGTATTAGAAAATAAATATATACATTTTAGGTAAAATTTTACCTAAAGAACTATATATTTATTTTCTAATACATTATGAATTTGAAATACATTTACGTTCAGCCGTTTGACGGAAATTTGCAAAACAGTAAATTGAAAATCTAGTAATTTAATCGTGAGATCTTACAAAATATTTCAATTTCTATTGTTTTGAAAAATATTATTTACTGAAACTATCAAATCTGAAGCGTTTCTGAAACATTTACGAGGCAATTTAATATCTCAATCGACATACGAGAAGCTTAACCGAAGGGATAAACAAATAACTTTTTGTCCACTCAGAGATCAACACATTAAATAACATGAATACTTCTAATTGTACTATAAGACAAAAACGCTATCACAGAAAAAAATTCATTGACCACAAATAATAAATTATTGTAGATTTTCTGATAATAAAAGTTTTCAATTTTAAAGAAGTCACTTTATTCTTTTAAATGCTCTGTGCATTCAGTATATAGGAGTTGATATCTATCCACGCATTTCTTTTATTATCTGAGAATTTTGAAGATATCTTTGGAAAGCTAATGAAGTGTTTTTACTGCGTTTTTTACGATTGTGAATTCAAATTAATCCTTCTCTTATATTGGTTACCACACAATGCTCAATCATTAATTCTAGACTGTTATTTAACTAACAGATTGGAGAACGGAAACGAAATTCACCCATGCATTTATTAAGTCTGTTAAAAAAACACAGAATAGGGTTGGACATGAAATCTTTTCATTACCGTCACAAATTAATGTAAAATGATATGACCGGGAGATATTCACTCTTTTTTCAGTAACACCTTTTACCTATTATCTCTTAGTGACAATCACACAAAGAAATGTAGTACTGTCACAAAATTCAAGCAGCATAAATTCATTAAACACAACGTTTTTGTTTGAATGTTTACTAACCTTCCCACAAGGCCCATTATTATTTGGGGTGTTTCAGAGCTCGTAGGCTCGGGCAAAAATTTCCCGTAGACTCCGCACACACGGGTTAGGGTTTGTCTACATCGCCAAACGAGACACTATCTCTTGACATAGCATCGTCTGGGTTCCTCTTTGCCCGAAGGCAGATTCGACAAGCTGCAGATTACGGTAGTAATCTGTCCCCCACAGCGCATAGACTGAGAAATCTTGACTATTTTTATGCTTTTTCGAAGAGTCCATTAAAAGAATAATAGGTGGCACGGTAATGTTTCCTGTTCTAGGTCTTATAACGCATTTGTTAAAAAAGACTTTAAATAAGTTGCTTCGTCATTGGCACCATTGTTGTTAGGAAGTCCATACGTTTCCCGCTCATTCTTTTTCGAAATCTTTTTCTCACTATGGATTTTTGTCATTGTCACTTCTGTGTTTTATCGGAAGCGAAAACTCTTAGAATAAGTTTGAAAATACCGATATAACAATAAATAAAGATTTATTAAGATAAAATACCAGATAGCCCCGGGCATGAGGCCAGGATTTAATTAGAAAACTGTCAAGCTATGAAACACAATATTACTATTCCAATATCGTAACGATAATGAAAAGCAAACTTCTGAAAATGTTTTTAAGTAACGACAATCCGGAACCTTTTTTTTAAAATTACTTCACTTCCATAATGTTCGTAGATTTATTTTATTTACTTAAGAAAAAAATGAATTAACAAACGTTAAAATTTTATGGCGAAACCTATCGACAACTCCGTATGCATGTTAGAACTGAGACTCAATGAACTATTCACGACAGAGTCTTGCACACAAAACAAACACCAAGATTTAACATTAAAACTTTATTTACTCTACAAGGGAAAGTTTGTAAAAGCTAATTTATGTCACAAATTCTCTTGGATTCTGTTGAGTTTTCCATTAGAAGCAAGAATTATACTTTTTGTGAAATGGCATAAGAATCTAAGCCTTAATGTGGCCCTTCTTTTAAAGCAAGGGAAAATTTAATACAGAAGTAAATTCTCAGTTTCAGGATATCTCCGAATTTATCGAAAGAATTCTAGGCTACACATGAATGTAGTTGGGCTTTATGCTCGAGAAAATCTCCCAAGTGAATCGTCACCTGGGATATAAGATATTTCTCTCTCTCTGATTACACCTGTTAACAGCCATTTATTATCAGAAATATGATCTGCTGTGTTCTATATAAATTTCTCCGCTGATTTGAAAAATGTCATCGGACTTCTTTTATCTGTTACAGTTTCTCTGATGAGATGAGTTCGGCAAAAGATTCCGATCGGCAGCATCGTCACCAGTAAAAATCTTATATAGATAATTTACCGATTTTATTTTGTTACCAATTATGTGTATTATATAATTTCATGAATTATTGAAAATATTTTATGGTATATTTAAGCATTTCTCACAAATTATTCCATTAGCCATATTTGGTATCTCCATAAATTTTACTTTTTCACTTCAGTTGTCGGATACACGTCAACTTTCTAGTCCGATGTCAATCATCATCATCATCATCATCATCATCATCCTCAAACTGTATTTACGATGCCAGAACATTGCAAGAACAATCATTATATATTTTGTTGATATGGAGAGAACACAGGATCATTTCAAAGTTCGTTTTTTTCTGTATGATTAATGTATTTGGGTTTAAATTTAAGCCCAGGCATAAAATTGTGTATCTCAACTTAGAATCGATAGGAAGACCAGAAGCATGCAATGATGATAGTTTTTCGTTCCAGTATCACCGGAGAATGGCCTTCAATTGTCTAACGAAGAGGTGTTTTGTCGGGAAACCACTAGTGATGTGGAAACAACCGAATGGATGCAGTTTTTGTTCTTGAAAATGAACCGCAAACATTTTCTCAAGGTGAGGTAAAGCTGAAACGTTAACGCATCGTCTCAAATAAAATGTCTGCTTAACAAAGATATTTGGATTATTCCTTTCAGATAGATAAATAAGGATTTGACTTCGTTCTTTTCTGCAGACAGTCGAGTTTGTTTCTGTAATAACTCTCAGGAGTTATTTCACGATTTGTGCCAAAAACATGTTCCATCTCAATGGTGCTTATTTATTGGTCCATCGAAGCGAAGTCTCAATGCAGGACTGCTAAACAGCGGAAAAAAAAAAAAACTCCCTTTTCCAGAAATTCAGTGAACATAAATGAGTCTGCTGAAAATATGCAGGTAGCCCTCGATGCTATGAAATACTTGGAAAACAACTGGAATATAGGTGGAGACTTAAAGTTGGTTGGAATATTAATAGCAATGCAGTCAGGATTCACGAATCACCGTTTTTTATGCCTTTGGTTCAATCGTGCAAGTGCCAATCAATAGATGCAAATGTAGCTGCAGCGAGAGACATACTAGCCTGGAGTTTTTAACGCCCAGAGTAAGCTATTAGTAAAGTCAGATAGTGTTTTTCTCGCCATTCTTCACATAAAGCTTCGGTTCATAAACAATATGTGAAAAAAGTAGTCAGATGTGGAGGCCAATGTCGAAAGATATCAGCGTGACAAAACTGAAGGAAAGCGTATTAATAGTTTCGCAGATAAAGAAACTCGTCAATTACAACAAATTGAACTTAAATCCTGTTCATACTTTAAGTTAATTTGACAAAATTAGCTGGTAGCTCCGTTTACGAATCTTTAAAAATAACATCTGTCGGTTAAGTCGAAATGTTATATCTGTATTAATTCTTTTTTTCTATCTCAATATATCATCTGTGGATGACTATATATATATATATATATATATTCATCCACATCAATAGAGAGACAATTTCGATGCATCACAGCTGCTGAATGTGGTTTGACGTCCTATTGCTTCAAACCGGGTTCTAAACCCGATTGTTTTGACATGAGTCGGATATCCGACCTCTATGCCATCGTCACACGGCGGAAGGGAAACACATTTTAGCGATTTTCTCTATACGAAATATCTATCTATCTATCTATCTATCTATCTATCTATCTATCTATCTGTAGGTAGATAATACATGCAGACACATAAAACACACACACACAACACACACACACACACACATATATATATATATATATATATATATATATATATATATATATATATATATATATATATATACTAATTTTAATTTTTAATGTCATTTATACTACAGATGCTTAATTTTAAGAAACTACTTAGGCGAGGCAAATGAGGAACATTCAGTTCAGCATCAGATGACCGAATTTAAATAAAATCTTGGATCAGATTTGCTGACTTGTGTAGAGAGACAAAGCATTATTGTTTAGGTCTGTCTATCTCGATATATATATATATATATATATATATATATATATATATATATATATATATATATATATATATATAGCGTATGTTCTTTTCAAACATCTATGTATATATGTGGACACAACTTTTGTTTATGCTATAAATATCGAATTGCAATGCTTAAAAGGCTACATCGATTTTATTACATTAAAAAGTGTTTTTTTTTAGCGAAAGATTTTCTATTGTTGTCAAATCGCAAATAGCTTTTCCTATAGTAAAACCTCCTGACATTTTCTCACGATTTTCGTTGCTATCCGTCATTAAAGTATCTGTTATTTAAGGCATCAAACCTTTCTACATTTTACTCTTGTTCTTCCTCTTGACACTTCGAAGAGCATCCTTCCGCCTTGCGATTGAGTACACTTTTTAAACATTAACCATCATCATCTGCGTGTTTTAACACACTATCTCGAGATAGATCACTCGATCAATCGATAGATAGTTAGATAGATTGATAGATAGAAAGATAGTCTCTGCATTTACAGCCAACTGACAAATATTTATCCCTCTCCAAATCTTTCAAACAAACATACATACCCGCACACAAACGCACACACACCCACAGACACACACATATGAGTAACGACGAAATGGAAACTTATCTTAGCTGACGAGTTTCGTATTCTGTTGGGCATTGTTCGGGCAAATGTAAGGATTTTATTTAGAAAAATGAATTATTCAAACTAAAAACTCACATAAACATAATTCAGGCGAACTGAAAATTAAGGTAACATATGGAGTATCCTAAGCGATATAATTGAATATCAAATGTATGGTAAGAAAAAAATATTGCTTAATTTTTGGCCTTATTACACAGCTACAGATGTACCTGTTCCGATGATGATGTAGTAGTGAATTTCATGTGCTTGTATTTCCCTATCTTCTTTTGGCCTCTCCGTAACGAGCTAATATTACCTCATATCTCACACCACATTGAACCCAACCTTTTCCCAGATGGTAGGGTTGATATCAAACCATATGAAGTCTCATTTACGAATGTCCTTAAAATGAAATATGTGATGCCCAACATTTGTAGGCGAAACGATTCGATGACTAGATTATTTTATTTTTTATTCTCATTACTTATATAGATTTATGTTTTATTGGTGAGATTCGTCTACCCAGCTTCTTTAATATTTGGTTCTTTCAGAACCTAAGAAGCTTTCGCTCTAAAGAGAATTCTTCATTATTTAAGAATTTCCATTTTATTTTTCTGTATTATTTAACCTATACATAGGAAGAAATCATATCCATTCATAACTTTCTTAACGATATTAACCATAATGTAATTATGGGAATCACGGTGGAGTAATGGATAGCGGCTCGGATTGAGGAATCAGAGACCCGAGTTCGGATCCATTAATGAGTAAATAGCAAGACAGATTGGGGTCTAAAACCTTGGCTGGCAACCGGTCTAGAAGGAAAACTCTGAAACACCGGCCTGGAGACGGTTGCGCTCCGTAAGTCTATCTTGTCCCACTTCTACTGGCTACAGTACAGATGGTGTTCCTACGGTTCACGGCCTACAAAATTAACATTAGTAAATGAGTGTAATAAATGAATTGATAACAAATGAAGAAGAGGTAATATTATCATCTAATTTTCTTAATTAACAATAAAGATTTTTGCATAACTAATCGATTGCATTGAAAAAAATATTTGAAACAAATTAATTCATAGACGCTAAAACCACCATGATTACTCCCTTTTTGTTCTAAGAGGTGAATTATTATTTTTAACTATAAGGTCGGTGGTTTAAAAAAATTTTCGTAATAAATAATTTGTATATTTTTTTTGAAAATTTTGTCTACTGGTGTTGTGAATTTTTTAAATGTTCTTAATTCTAGCATCATCTTGTTTGTAATTGGAACAAAATTAAATAGAACAAATATTATTTACGAAATTAAATGTCCATTAAGTAATTGTATTCTTGATCTGTCAAAATTATTATATTAAACAATTATATAGGCCATACTACAACACGTTTGACACGAAGACTCACACTACATATTTCTGAATATAGCTCAATTAGATCTCATTTAAATACTCAGAGAGAGCTACTAGATCTTATTCGTAACATACTTAACAAAATACTTAACACAAACATAACAGCATCGTCTACATTTAAAAAAAGCTAAAAATTATGAAAACCTTATTACTAAAAACAAAAAAAATCAACACTGAACATGGACACACTATTTTGGCATTGGTTTGATAATGAAACACTTTATAAATACATACATACAACAATCTATTTCTTGTTAACAGTAACTATGTTTCGACCTTTGAAAATGACTAAATGTATAGCCGAAAGCGCTCGGAAAGAAAGAACAAACTGGACAATTCTTAGAAAAATATTCTTCAGTTTGACATATTTTTCTAAATACTATTTGTTGATATATAAAATTATACACAATTATATATCGTTATATCATATGATCTCATTCGCCGATTGAGCACTATGGAGAAATGGAATTTTTAACGGCTGCTTCTGATTTAATGCATCGCTCTTTATAAGAAATGAGCGCTATGGCGGCTGGTATAGCGTTTATATAGCACGCATATAACGCGTTAACAATTCCCTTTCCCTCTCGTACGCTGATGGCCTAGGTAAGAGTCTCTGACTGATGTCAAATCGGTCGAGTTTCTATCCCGGCTTGATCCAATCGGATATCTAGCCAATCTGATGAGCCGTGATACAGTGCATCGAAGCTGTTTGTGGATGACTATATATATATATATATATATATATATATATATATATATATATATATATATATATGCCTGACAATCGTAGAAAGCGTGAAACGCAGGATCACAAACTCACATCAATCCAATTAAATATGTTAGCTCTATCACTGATATTGAGGCATATAAAAAGTAAAGAATATTTCATCTATAAGTATATATTTTTTTGGCAATTTAATTTGTGTTAGCAAATTTTATTCATGTGTTGGTATATTTGTATGTAAGTATGTAGGTAAAAAGGTTTATGTGTTTATGTTAAATTTGTAACCTGCAGGTGATATTACTTGCTTTGGCCAATTTTCTTGATTACACATCGTTTCTCTTATAAATGTCCTTCGTTTTTAGTTTGCAACCCCCATATATTTCTCTCTATCTCTCTCTCTTTTTCTGGATTTTAAGTTTTGATCATATCGTTTTTTATTACGCGTAGTGTCACCACAAATGTATACACACGTTTCCGGTGTTTGTTTTTTAATTTTAATTTAGGTCAGCGAATCGGTAGCGAATTATGCATCGAAAAATAATTCCTATTTATCTGTATCTCACTCATTTAAACCGTTATTTAACTCCTCTCTTTAAACTTCTCTCTGTTAAATTTTAATCCCCACCTTCACCTTTAGGCCTTCCTTCTTTCTTCTGTTACACCCTCTCTCTAGAGCTTTTCATACATTTCCCTCTCACACTTTTCCCACTCCCACACATACACTCTCATTAAAAATTTATTTTCCTACCCGTAGTTATATTTTCTGATTTATTTGTAGGTCTAAAGAATTGGATCGTAATTACGATTCCAATGTAATAAATTATAACCATGGAATATTAGTGCTTAAGTCTTTTTTTCATTTTTATATATATATATATATATATATATATATATATATATATATATATGTGTGTGTGTGTGTATGTATTTAAATTAATAAAATTCGCTATTGCCCGGTATGTGCCGAGGGCTCACAGAGAAGTTTAGTTTAATGAAACCCATCTGTAATCTACATTCCTGTAACGACCTTATCGTTTAGACATAAAATTGAATCCTTTCGTGTTTAGGAATTTCGTTTCAGACTTTTCAGTTTGATGAAATTGAATCGGTGTTTCACGTTGCGGAAAGCTAAACTAATCTTTCTGTTTGTGTTCAGAAAATATAAACCTTAAAAAGAATAAGACATCTTAGCGTTTTATTACTCGAACCATTGATATATAAAAATCTGACATTTTCATTACATACTTATAAAACACAAGCAGAAAACAGCTTCAGTCGATCAATATATTTGTGCAACACTCGATAAAGTTTTGATTTATTTGTTTGTGCTTTTACGGCTGATCAACTCTGTGTGTGAGTTATTTAAAGCTGAAACAGGATTTGCATTGTAAAGATAATACTTGTTTTGCATTCACAAGTGTTGGCGAATAAGAATGATTTTTCAAGATACATGTTCTACTATTTAACATATAGCTGGATGGAATGCGGTCGATTCCTATTTTATGCACAGGTATTTCAAAAGAACGCATCAAACATTTCTCCTTCTGAGTCTCAGTAAATTATACCACTCGCACATACATTTCGGTAAATATCTCCACTTAATAAGCAACGACTTGGAAAACTACTCTTTAAAATCAAATACAAATGGCGTCTTGAGTTATCATGGCGGTGAATATTTTTCAACGTGTGAATTAAGCGTGCCCGTTCAAATAAACGTTCCAACGGGATAAATGTGTCAGATTTTATGATTGTGGAGAAAGTATTTTGAAAATTAATAAACGTACCGTACCTCTGTGTCGGAGTGGGGTGGGGAGAGAGATGAAAATAAACTAATCAGGCCGGCTCTTGGATTTGATTCAAAATTATTGTTTGCATACGATGATATGAGAAAGTAAAAATGAATTCTTAAGAGATAACGACTGGTAGGAAAGAAAGAAATTAGAGTAA